ATTAGCTTGCACACCTGCCCCCAAAACCTGAACTTTCACCCATAAATTCTTTAATGTCCTAATCTACACCATCATAATTTTTTACCAGAAGAGTCTCCTATTTAGGTTTTTGGTTTCTTCTTTTGTTTGTTTAATATGTTTTTGTCAAAGCAACCAGTGTTCTCCTTAGAAGTATTAGTCAAGGGCCTGGTGCAGTAGCCTAGTGGCTAAAGTCCTTGCCTTGCATGCTCTGGGATCTAATATGGCACCCAGCCGCTTCACTTCTCTTCCAGTACCCTGCCTGTAGCCTAGGAAAGCAGTAGAGGATGGCCCAAAGCCTTGGGACCCTGCACCCATGTGGGTACCCCAGAAAAGGCTCCTGGTTAGGATCAGCTTAACTTCAGTCATTGCTGTCACCTAGGGAGTGAACCAGTGGATAGGAGATGTTTCTGTCCCTTTCTTCGTAAATTTGACTTTTCGATAAAAATAAATAAATCTTTTTTAAAAAGTATTAGTCAAATCCTGTTATGCCACGACTCAAGACCTTTTAGACTTTCCATATAACCAAGACTACAAGCCAACATCCTTCAAAATAAACTATAACACTAGTGATTGACGCCATGTGGAGAATGACACAGTGATTGGAAGACTTCCTCTCTCTGCCTCGATGCGTGGATATGTTTGTCTCCCCTCCTGTAATTCTTTCAAATAAACACATTTTAAAATATTTAAATATATATACAAAACCCACCTTCTTCTCTCACATATGTGATCTTATCTCTGGTCTGGTACATGTCACCACTGTATCCACATGACTCTGCCTCTCGTTCCTCTAACACCATTTTCCGATGATGACCACACCAATCATGTTAGAGCTACAACTGTCTCCTAGAAAGCAGCCAGTACTCCTGCTCCCCACACACCTTTCCTGCTCTACTCTCTCCACAAACTTCCTAGATGATTTGCTTTTTATTCATGTCTGTCTCTGTTGCTCTTCAAATATATGCACACTGAATCAGCTCAAGCCCTTAGAAAATGATCCAATACATAGTAAATGCTCCAAAATGAATTGTTGCCACTAAGACTTCTGTGTCTCTCTCCTCCCTTCCTCCCTCCCTCCCTCCCTCGCTCCCTCCCTCCCTCGTTCCCTTCCTCCCTTCTTTTCTCTCTCTTTCTTTAAGGTAAAAGGGAAAGGTATGGAGCTCTGGGATAGAACAAGCCATCCTGGCCCCCAAGTGTGTGGCGGGAGTGGGGGGCTATTGGAGTGGGAGTAACTGAGGGTATGTTTGACAGTGAAGGAATGATTTCCGGAGTCTCCCAAGTACTGGGCCACTGCACTCGCAGGTAGGCAAAAGAGCTGAGTGGTTTACAGAGGGAGGAAGCAGAAAGAATGTTTGGGTCAGGTCAAGGCACCTACCCAAGTAAGAGACCTGGGCTGGGCTAAATAGCATCATTCGCCACCTGTGTTAACAGGCACTTGCAAAAGCTGGGGCTGGAGGGCATGCCTGGCTGGGTTAGGACATAGTACCTGTCCATGAGCATCAGAGCAGAGGTTGGGCCACATCAGGCTGGGCAGCAGCACCCACCAGAACACGAGAGAACCAAATTTAAGAAGATTCTGAAGGGGAATTATGGGCTCTCCTCTTTGGTGCTGCAGAACCCAGCAGTTATCACAGAGGGCTGAGGGTGGTGACAGACCAAGCTAGGCTGACCACAGAACTCCCCCGATAGGAGCCCACCTGACACTGGCTGAGGCTAGGGCTGGGAGAAGACTGTAGAAGGCCAGGTTTACAACACTTGTTAGTGAATGCAAAGGCCAAGACAGAGGGCAGACCATGCTCTGCTGGCATGTGTGAGATACCAGGCTGGGAACAGACTTGATCGGGGAACTTGAGGAACTCTCCTACCAGTCCATAGCTGCCTTGGGGGAGCACAAGAGCAGGGCTTCAGGGGCAGGCCAGGCCGGGCCAGGCCGGGCGAGGCAATGCTACAGTACTCCTTAGTATTTGTGTGGCCAGGTCTGAAGAAAGGCTGGGTTGGGCCAGGCCTATGTATCCACTGGCACACATAAGAGCCATAACAGGTCATGTAGGCCATGACTGACTGGGTTGGGCTGCAACATCCACCAAAAAAGGGTGGGCCATGCAAAGGTGGGTTGAACCACTTGCTAGGGAGACTTTGAGGATTCCCGTGCTAGACTGCTGTTATTGATGAATGCAAGAGCTGGAGCTTTGGGTGGATCAGGCTAGGCAAGGGTGCAGCACCTATTGATATGTCTTTGGACAGGAATACCTAGGTTGGCTCGAGAACTTGCTGGTTCTCACAAGGGCCAGAATGGGTGTGAGACAGGACAGGCCAGATCACATGTCAGCCAAATCACATGAGAGCCAGGTCTGGGGGGAGGCCAGGATGGGTTAGGCAGCAGGACCCATTGGTAAGAGCCATAATGGTCATGGGCCAGTTAGACAGTACTCACTGGTGAGTGGGGGTGTGCCATGTTAATCTGGGCAGCAGCACCTGATGACACATGCAGGATCCAGAGCTGGGAATACCCTGGTAGGGGAATTAGGGAAACTCCCCTGGTAGGCTGCAGCTCCCAATGCTGAACATGAGAGCCAGGGCTGAGAACAGGATAGACCATGCTGGGCTGCAGCACCTATTGGCACGTGTGTGAGGTAGGTCTGGGAGCAAGCCAGGTAGGGTCAGTTCACAGCATCTAGTGGCATAAGGGTGCAAGCCAGGCTAGGTTGGACCACAACACCTTCCAGTTAACATGAGGGCTGGGGTTGGGCCAGGCTAGCCTAGGCTGCTGCACCTGCAGATGAGAGCTAGGACTTGGGGCAGAGTGGGCTAAGCCAGGCTGTAATACCTGCTTGGAAAATGCTGACACTATGCACAGTCCATCTCAGACTGGGCCACAGCACCTTCTGGCACACATAAGACCCAGGCCAGCAGTGGGCCTGGTAGTGGGACTTCGGTGAATCCCATGCTGGACTGTTTTCCACTGATGAGCATGAGAGTTGTAAATCGGGGTGGGCCAGTTTTGGGGGCCCAGGCTAGGACAAGTAGGCTGTGCCTGCTGCCATGCACAAGAGCCAGAATGAGTACAGGCCAACCAGGCCACAGCACCAGTTGGCAAGTATCAGAACCGTTGTAAGTCATGTAAGACTGGACCACAATACTCCTTAAGAGTTGCCTCATTAAAGGATGGAAAGCTGAATAAGTTAGACAATTCTCCTGGTCAAGCTTTGTAGCTTGTTTCTGGGTCTGTGGTTACTCTGAGGTGGACTCTGTCAACCAGTAGGCCTTGGAAATATTTTCTCGACCCTGGAGCGACAAGATCAACCGAATCTCAAGGATAATGGAACTACTCCAGCACTGCCTTGGAACACTATTCCCAATACCAGGCTCTCTAGGGCATCATCAAATTACTCTCTCCATCCGCAGGTGTTGATGTAATTTGACAGCAAGTAGCAGCCCTCTCCCCTCTCCTTTTTCCCCACAAGTTGAAAAAAAAAGGGACCAAAGCATGTGTCCCACCTACTTTCCTGCATATCTGACCCTCCCGACCCCAATCAGAGGCCCACATGGTAATGCATTCCCCTCAACTATAAACAATGTTAAAAAATAATTTTTAAAAGCGTTAATGCAAGATAAATAAAGCACTCAGCCCAAAAGCAAGTACACAGATTTAAATACAAAAGACAGTGAGTGAGTGAACAGTCATCACTCAAGAGAAGACACAGAAATGACTAACAGCATATTAAATATACTCAACAATTATCAGATAAATGCAAATTAAAGTAGACAAATATCTCCTTATATCTGTTAGGGCAGGCATTATTTGAAAGATAAGTGTTAGGATGTATACAGAGGGAAACCTTTGTACACCATTGGTGGAAATGTAAATCAGTATATCCATTATAGAGAATTACATAAAGATTTCTAAAAAAACTTTTAAATAGAAATATAACATCCCCCAGTGCTACTACTGGGTGTACCTCCAAAGCAATGAAGTCAGTATGCTACTGAGATATCTACCATCACGTTAACTGAAACATTATTCAGAACAGAACTGACTTGAAATCAACAGATAACAAAAAAAAAGGCACTGTATACTCATATACACAACAGATTATCATTGAGTCTTAAAAAAGGAGAAAATTATGTCATTTTCAACATGAATGAAAATGGGGAACATTAACTTAAATGAAATAAGCCAGGCACAGAAAAAGAAATCACATGATCTCATTTGTATTTGAAACCTAATACATAGAGGTGGCTACTTAGGTGGTTACATAGGGCGTAACCAAGATCTGAGGGCATGATGCAGGATTAAGTAATTGATAGTTAAATAAAACATGTTTAAAATTTGATGGGGTTAGGGGCCTGGCGCCATGGCCTAGCAGCTAAAGTCCTTGCCTTGAGCGCGCCAGGATCCCATATGGGCCCCGGTTCTAATCCTGGCTGCTCCACTTCCCATCCAGCTCCCTGCTTGTGGCCTGGGAAAGCAGTCGAGGATGGCTCAAAGCCTTGGGACACTGCACCCCTGTGGGAGACCTGGAGGTTCTAGGATCCTGGCTTCGGATCGGCATAGCACCGGCTGTTGCGCTCACTTGGGGAGTGAATCATCGGACAGAAGATCTTTCTCTCTGTCTCTTCTCCTCTCTGTATATCTGACTTTCCAATAAAAATAAACAAATCTTAAAAAAAAAAAAATTTGATGGGGCTAATGAGCTCAAGAGGTGTATCATACAACAACGACTATAGTTAACTGATAATGCATAATAGACTTGAAAATTGCTCAGAGATTTTAATGTTCCTGCCACAAATAAGTATATGATAAAATGCAAATGTTAATTAACTTAACATAGCTATTTCTTAATGGTTGCATGTTTTAAAACATAAGGCATACCATAAACATGCATTTTTTTCTGCCCATGTAAAAAATAAAATACCACAAAAACCTTACCAAAAAGACAGAGCAAGCTGTGTTTACAATGAAAAAAAAATTCACATACCTTGGCTTCCGAAACGCTAAACTGTACTGTTGGCAAGCCAGACCCACAGTAGGAGTATAAACAATAGGCATAAACTTCTCAATGTCAGACATGAGTACTCTATAAAAGAGCTTTTCATTTCTATCTTGAAGATCCATCAACAGAAGGTACCTGAGGAAATTATATATAATTAGATCCATATTCAACAAAGTCAGGAAATAGCTGCTTAGAAATACAATTAAGCATCTCTCAAGCAAGTTCATAAGAAAACAACTGATCAAGAAAGACTTTAGAAATATTGTTAAAGACCTGAACAGAAAAACTCTGAATTTGAAGTTTCATGCCTATTTACAAAAAAAATAGCACTATAGGCATAGATTAAACATCAATTTCTCTAAGTAAACATAAAGACTTTTGGCATGCAGTAGCAAATAAATAAAGAATAAGGCAAGCAGGGAATGATTATGGGATTATAACACCCACCCTAAAAATAAGGAAGGTAGGAAAGTTCCAGGGACTTTATTACTATTTGTATCACATAGCCTTTCTTTTTCTAAATGCATAGCTGACCCAGAGTTAACTTCTCTAAGCGTAAATTTTTATGTTACCTGTAACAGGGTATAACAGACACCATTCTGATGTTTAATCAAACGTCATTTTGAGGAGATAGCATTTCATTGCTAGACTGAGTAAAGTGGCTTATCCTTCAGAATGTGGATGGGCCAAACCAATCAAGTGAAGGAGGCCTTAACAGAACAAAAGCTGACTTCCCTTCCAGCACAAAGGGATTCTACCAGCACACTGTCTTTGAACATGAAATGCAACTCTGCCTGGGATCTCTAGCTTCCCAGCCTACCTGGAGATTCTTGATTTACAAAGCACAGGCACAGGCATGCGCACCCACCCACCCACATCCTTATTGGTTTTTTCCTTTAGAGTACTTTGATTACTATCAATATTTACTAATTACTAAGTAAGCTATCTCTTTCCATTTCTATACTAATACTTTCATAATGCTAATGCGAGTAATACTTTATAATACTCTATTGTTATCTCCAACATACAGATTTTTTAAAACTTAGGCGCACAGAGGTTTATCACCTTAATAAAAAGGGGCAGAGTCAAAAATAGAGAGAAGGCCCTGTGCAGTAGCCTGGTGGCTAAGTCCTCATGCCTTTCATCTGCCGGGATCTCATGTGGTACCAGTTCATGTCCCATCTGCTCCACTTCCCATCCAGCTCCCTGCTTGTGGCCTGGGAAAGCAGTCGAGAATGGCCCAAAGCCTTGAGACCCTGCACCTGTACCCATTGGGAGACCTGGAAGAAGCTCCTGACCCCTGGCTTCAGTCGGTTCAGCTGCAGCCATTGCGGCTACTTGGGGAGTGAACTAGTAGATAGAGGAGCTTTTTGTCTCTCCTTCTCTCTGTAAATCTGACTTTCCAATAAAAAAAAATCTTTAAAAAAAAGTAGAGAGAAAAGCAGATACAAAGACCATGATAATAATCAAAATGATCTATACAAGGATCCTTGCTTGTAGGCAAGAAACAGAATTCCAACATAGAGTAGAGGAAAATGTTACTTTTATTTATGTACAAATGTAGAAACTGAATTCTAAACAAAATAAGTACCTTAAATTCACAGCAGCATTAGAGCAATGTCCAGAGGCTGAAGACGTGTGCTTTCTCCTACAATGTGTTAACTTGACTAAACATAATTTTAACCAACTTTTTCTTTGTTTAGTATATAATTTCTTGACAATGTACCTTAAGCAATAAAAATAGTATCTACTATTTAGAAATACAATTTAGAAAGTAAAAAATAAAATTTTTTTAAGATTTATTTATTTATTTTTTATTGCAAAGTCAGGTATGCAGAGAGGAGAGGCATAGAGGAAGATCTTCAGTCTGTTGATTTACTCCCCAAGTGGCCCCAACAACTGGAGCTGAGCCAATTCAAAGCCAGGAGCCAGGAGTCTCTTGCAGGTTTCCCAATGGTTGCAGGTTCCCAAGGCCTTGGGCCATCCTCAACTGTTTTCCCAGGCCACAGGCAGGGAGCTGGATGGGAAGTGGGGCTGCCAGGATTAAAACCGGTGCCCATATAGGACCCTGGCGTGTTGAAGGCAAGGACCTTAGCTGCTAGGCGACCATATAGGGCCTAGAAAGTAAAATTTTAATTCATTCAAATTTTCCTAAAGGGGATACGTTCTTTTTAAAATCATTGTATTTACAAGTAAATTTTCCTTTAATTTGACTATCCTTACCAGAACAGTACTTTAAATTTTTCATAAAAATACATAGACAATTGTGTGAGAAACATTAAATCACTTTTATGAGTACCTTACCTGTCAAAGTCAGAGTTTAGACGTTCAAAATTCTTAACTACTCTAAGGACCTGCAGCTCCTGACTGATGAAGCTCGGTGGCAACAATCCATGAATATTCAACTGCTGCCTTTCTTCCAGGGTAAAAGCCAGATCCTATGGAGGAAAGGAAACCACAATTTGAGGGAAAAAGACAAAAAGCATCTATATACAGTTTTTATATAAAAGATTTATGTTTATTATTTTTTTTTTAATTGGAAAGGTGGATATATACAGAGAGGAGAGACAGAGAGGAAGATCTTCCATCCAATGATTCACTCCCCAAGTGAGCGCAATGGCTGATGCTATGCCGATCCGAAGCCAGGAGCCTCTTCCGGGTCTCCCACGCGGGTGCAGGGTCCCAAAGCTCTGGGCTGTCCTCGACTGCTTTCCCAGGCCACAGGCAGGGAGCTGGAAGGGAAGCGGGGCTGCCGGGATAGAACCAGCGCCCATATGGGATCCCGGGGGACACACACACACACACACACACACACACACACATACCCCTAACAAAGTAAAAGCCAGAAGATCTCAGAGATCACATTTTGGCACAGTGGGAAAAGCCACTGCGATGGCAGAATCCCATGTGGGCACCACTTTCAGTCTCTGATGCTCCACTTCAACTTCAGTGCTCTGTCAATGGCCTGAGAAAAGCAGCAGAAGATAATCCAGGTATGTTGGATTCTGGAAGAGGCTCCTGGCTCCTGGATTCAGTCTGGCTCAGCACTGGCTGCTACAGCCATTTCAGGAGTCAATCATGAATTAGAAGACCTCCCCATTATACATTCAAATAAATAAAATACATCTTAAAAGATCATTTTAAAAAAAAAAAGATCTTGCATCACATGTGGTTAGAAGTCACATAAATACTCCCTATCCCACTTCCTTTTTCTATAAAGAATACAATAATATGTTCAGAGGCACATCACTCAAATATAAAAATCAAGCAAGAAACACACATGAAAGGAGATATAGCCATCATTAATGTCAGTTAAATATAGAAATGAGCAGTAATTTTACATTTTAAAATTATGAACATGAGTAAGGTCACTTATGAGTTCCTTATTCCCATCTCTAAAATAGACCAATGTCTTATGTGGTTCTGAGGAAATAGCTGCAATACTTCTGTCCCAAGTCATCTACTATTCTACATACTCTCAGCTATATCAACTTCTTACTACTGCCGGAGTACACCACATGCTTTTATTCCTCCACAATGCCATGGTCAAGAATATATTTCCTCCTTTTCTGATTTTCTAGCCTTTCTTCAAATGCTCTCTCCTGTCTAAAGGCTTTTTAGGGTCACATAGTATGTCATTAGGGCCCTATTAGTAGTCCCATTTGTTTCTATAAACAGAGACTGTATGCAACATCAGTAATAAACTATAAAGTTCAAGAATACCAAAAAATGATGGATTCATGCAAAACTCATATCTGAGAGATTTGCGTCAGCTATAATATGGATTAACAGCAAGGAAGCTCCTGTAGTCGTTACTGATCAATACGATCTAGTAGACTGAGACACAGCCCCTCTAGGGAGGACTGCCAAAGGAAACATGGAAGCCCAAGATGCTTCTGACTAGACTACTACTGTTGTCCTTCTGGGTCTAGTGTAAACACACAAGATGACATGATGTTCTGTATTATGGTCCAAATATTTGTGCCAAACCCCACCCCTCAAATTGCTACATGGAAATCCTCACCCACAAATAATGGCAATAGAGGTATGCAGGGTTTGCGGGGTGATTAGGTCAGGAGGGTAAAGCCCTGAGGAACAGCATTCATGTCCTCATTAAAAGAGACCCAAGGGCTTGATTGTCTTTTCTGCCATGTGAGGACACAGAGAAATGACAGATTCTAAGAACCAGAAAGAGGTCATCTCATCAACTCTGTAACAGCTTGTCGTGGACTTCCCAGCCTTCAGAAGTAAGGATAAATTTGCTCACAAACCACACAGTCCACGGTAGTCTATTCCAAGCATCCAGAATGAACAATGTCTGTCCAATTTGCACACTGTGACCACTGCTCCAAACAGGTTGGAACATGTCTACTAACTTGGAATTGAGTGAATCAAGAGCAACCTACCTCTGTCCCTAAAGTTTCTTGCAATGGTGGAATGGGGCCTCCTGAGTATATCACTCCGAGATAAGAATAACGGTTCTTTACAGAAGAAAATGACAGACCCTGATTGATAAGGAATAGACATGTCCAAATCCATGAAGTTTGTAAAAAGGTTAATGAAGAACCTCTTTTATCTAAATGCAAATAGGTACAGACCTATTCATTCATGCCACTGATGTAAATGCTTATGTCTAAATAGCATCCTGTGTCAGGAAAACAGGCAGAGAGACAAATAGATCTGTTTACCAACTAAAATCCTGGTAGATATCCGTGTCAGGTGACTGAAAGCCAGCAGGAACCAAGGAAGTCAGAACTTACAGTGCAAGAAGTTGCACACAAACTTAAACTCTTTTTCTCTACTAGAAGCTTTTCTCATGACTGCAGATGTTGCCACTGCTACATGCTCACCGGGGATCCTTTGACTTTCCAGCATGACTGCACAGCAGCAGGATGATCCATTATCAAGAGGATGATTTAGTGCATCCAACAACATCCGGTCCAATCACCCTTTCCCAGATATCTCAAGAACAGATCAGTATACTCTATCAGTTCTTTGCTTAGAAGTTGCAGCCAGCATTAGAAGACACTTGCAGTATTGCCTGAAGACACTGCCCTACCATTCACTTTACATTTATAGTCTTTCTCATGTAAAAGATCCAAAATCATAAAGTTACTTTATATGCTTCACACTTTCTTCTCAGTGTTCAGAATAGTATCCAACATATTTAAAATCCAGAAAATTAGTGCATAGAGAAAACATACTAAACATTCAGTTTTAGGCACATTAACATATTATTTAAAAGCTGTTACATTGCTGCTCAGGAAAATGATCTACAAATTCCTTCTGATAAAATTACTTTTAAAATTCAAAGCCGTGGGCATGGCATGATGGTTCAATGTAAAACCTTATCCTACAAGTGCCAGGATCCCCTATGGGTGCCAGTTTGTGTCCCGACTGCTCCATTTCTCATCCAGTTCCCTGCATTTGAGGATAGACCAAAGCATTGGGACCTGCACCCTCATGGGAGACTCGGAAAGAAGCTCCTGGCTTCGACTGGCTCAGCTCTGGCCATTGCAGCCATGTGGGGAGAGAACCAGAAGATGGAAAAATCTTCCTGTTCTTCTCTCCATAAATCTGAAATCCTTTTTCAATAGAAAATAAATTTTTAAAATTCAAAGCTGTTAGAAAGGGATATTGGAGTGAAAAAGTAATCGGCAAAATAGAAAACATACTCATTTGTTTAAGGTATAATGGGAAGATTTGGCATTTAAAAAATGTATCATCCAGACACAAGCTAAGCTACTATTTGAAATCTCCTGTCCTCCCCTCTCTCCTACTCCTCCTCTATCTATTTTTCCTGCATTTTCTGCATCTTTATATTAAATGAATGAGACCTTGGGCCTGGGAGTTTAAACTTCCAGCAGCCTCACAGCTGCTTGTGGGTCTCAGGACGGGGAGTCTCATGCCTGGATCCCAGACCACAGCCACCACGTGCACGTGGTGAGCTGTCCCAAAGTAGACATTGCACCATTTAGTGTCAGGCTCCACCTGCCGGCCACCAGGCCAGCCTCGAACCTCTGGGGTTTTGGTTCTTTGAGTCGCTGCTTAATTAGCTCCAGGTTGAACCCACTGTGCTTCTAGGATGTGAAGCATTCGTAAAGATTCCCATTTGTGGGCCCGGCATGGTGGCCCAGTGGTTAAGGTCCTCGCCTTGCACGCCCAGGATCCCATATGGGTGCCGGTTCTATCCCGGCAGCCCTGCTTCCTTCCAGCTTCCTGCCTGTGGCCCGGGAAAGCAGTGGAGGACGGCCCAAAGCTTTGGGACCCTGCACCCGCGTGGGAGACCTGGAAGAGGCTCCTGGCTTTGGACCGGCATAGCATCAGCCGTTGCGCTCACTTGGGGAGTAAATCATCAGACAGAAGATCTTCCTCTCTGTCTCTCCTCTCTGTATATCCGCCTTTTCAATAAAAAAATAAAAATAAATCTTTTAAAAAAAATTCCCATTTGCAGTAACTCTTCCTTTGTAAAACTTGTAATCACTGAACAATGCTGAAATACCAGTCCATGCAAAAGCTATGGCTTGGGGCTTGTCCAGCGGAATCATATACTGTTACCTGACATGAGGATGGATCAGGAGAAGGGTCACATTAAGCAAGCCATTACATTAACTAGCACTCAAGAACCATAACCGGGGGTAAATTCTATGAGGGATGTGTGGGCCACATCGTGTGAAAATACTAGCCCCACTGGTTATCTCAAGAGTTGGGGTGGTGATGGACTAAGCTAGGTGTGACCAAGGAGCCTGCCATCAATCACAGGTAAAGGAACCCCCAATAGTCTGGATTGGTCAAGGCAGCAGCACCCAAATGTGCACCCTGATTAGGGTGTGGAGTGCGCCAGGCTGCAACGTTCACCAGCTCATACAAGGCCAAATGAAAGGCCAGACTTCGCTGGGCACTGGCCTAAACCCAATGGCATGTATGAGAATTGGGTCTGGGAGTAGATTAAGTGGAAGAACTTGGGAACCCCCCCCCCCCCCCCGGCAAGTAATAGCTCCCGCTGGTGAACATGTGGTCCAGACTTGGGGGTCGGACAAGCTGGGAAAAGTAGCTCCAGCAGCTGGCAAACGTGCCAATTGGTAATGGAACAGGGTAGATCAGGCAGGACTGAGCAAACCTTAGCCCACAAGAGAAACTAGAAACCAGCATGGAGCACAGAACATGCCTAACTAGGCTCTTGCACCTACTGGTCTGCGTGAGCCAAGAACGCTAAGCCACAGTGTCTAAGGAAGAGGTCAGGACAGGTGAGGGGCTGTGCCAAGCTGAGTCAGAGCAACCACTGCCATGCATGCATGAGATCTATGGCTGGGAACAGGCCTGGATGGGGAGCTAAGGGGACAACCCTAGCTGGGTTGAGGTTCCCACCAATGGGCGTGTGACCTAGAATGGGGGCTGCATTCTGATCAGAAAATGGTTGTAGTCTTCCTCAGCACAA